TGGAGATGTCCTGTTTAAGGGCAATGTGTGGTGTAAATATTATGCAGATAATTCGGGGTGTGGAAATTAGGAAAAGGTGTGGAGTTAATAAAAGTATTAGTCAGGGGGCAGAAGAGGGGTTGTTGAGGTGGTTTGGTCCTTTAGAGAGAATGGATCAAAGTAGAATGACATGGAAAGCATATAAATCTATAAGGGAAGGAAGGCGGGGTAGGGGTTGTCCTCGAAAGGGTTGGAGAGAGGGGGTAAAGGAGGTTTTGTGGGCGAGGAGCTTGGACTTCCAGCAAGCGTGCGTGAGCGTGTTAGGAGTGAATGGAGACGAATGGTACTTGGGACCTGACGATCTGTTGGAGTGTGAGCAGGGTAATATTTAGTGAAGTCATACAGGGAAACCGGTTATTTTCATATAGTCGGACTTGAGTCCTGGAAATGGGAAGTACAATGCCTGCACTTTAAAGGAGGGGTTCGGGATATTGGCAGTTTGGAGGAATATGTTGTGTATCTTTATACGTATATGCTTCTAAACTGTTGTATTCTGAGCACCTCTGCAAAAACAGTGATAATGTGTGAGTGTGGTGAAAGTGTTGAATGATTATAAAAGTATTTTCTTTTTGGGAATTTTCTTTCTTTTTTGGGTCACCCTGCCTCGGTGGGAGACGGCCGACTTGTTGAATAATATATATATATATATATATATATATATATATATATATATATATATATATATATATATATATATGTGTGTGTGTGTGTGTGTTGTGTGTGTTGTGTGTGTTGTGTGTGTTTGTGTGTGTATGTGTGTGTGTATGTGTGTGTGTATGTATGTGTGTGTATGTGTGTGTGTATGTGTGTATGTGTGTATATGTGCGTGTATATGAGTGTGTGCATATGTGTGTGTGTGTGTGTGTGTTTGAGAGTATCTGTGTGTGTATGTGTGTATGTATACTCACCTATTTGTATTCACCTATTTGTGGCTGCAGGGGTCGACACTCAGCCCCTGGCACCGCCTCTTCACTGACCGCTACAGAGTCCTCTCTCTCCCTGCCCCTTGAGCTTTATCATTCCTCGCCTTAAAACTATTTATGGTTCCTGCCTCCACTGCATCATTTGCCAGACTAATCCACTTCCTTACAACTGTATGGCTGAAGAAATAATTAATAACATCCCTTAGACTCATCTGAGTCTTCAGCTTCCATTTGCCACCCCTTGTTTCCGTGTCCCATCTCTGGAACATCCTGTCTCTGTCCACCTTATCTATTCCTCGCAGTATTTTGCATGTCGTTATCATGTCTTCCCTAGCCATCCTGTCCTCCAGTGTCGTCGGGCCGATTTCCCTTAACCTTTCTTCGTCGGACACTCTCCTTAGCTCTCTTGTCGCAAATCTTTGCACTTTCTCTTACTTCTTGACGTGCTTGACCACGTGTGGGTTTCAAAATGGTGCTGCATACTCCAGTATGGGCCTGACGTACACGGTGTTCAGTGTCTTGAATGATTCCTTACTGAGGTATCGGAACGCTATTCTCAGGTTTGCCAGGCGCCCACATGCTGCAGCAGTTATCTGGTTAAAATGTGCTTCCGCAGACGTGCTCGGTATTGTTTTTACCCCAAAATCTTTCTCCTTGAGTGAGGTTTGCAGTCTTTTGCCACCTAGGCTGTGCGCTGTCTGCGGTCTTCTTTGCCCTTCCCCGATCTTCATGACTTTGCATTTGGTAGGGTTAAATTCTAGGAACCAGTTGCTAGACCACGCGTCCAGCCTGTCCAGGTCTCTTTGTAGTCCTGCCTGATCCTCATCTGATTTAATTCTCCTCGTTAACTTCACACCATCTGTAAACAGGGACACTTCTGAGTCTATCCCTTCCGTCATGTCATTTACATATACCAAAAATAGCATTGGTTCATGAACTGACCCCTGTTGAACCACGCTCGTCACAGGCGCCCACTCTTGACACAACGTCACGTACAATAACTCGTTGTTGCCTCCCTGTCACATATTCTCTAATCCATTGCAGTGTCTTTCCTGTTATGCGTGCCTGATCCTTTAGCTTTTGCATTAACTTTTTGTGAGTTACTGTGTCGAAGGCCTTCTTGCAGTCTAAGAAAATACAATCTATCCACCCTACTCTCTTTCGCGTCTTCTGTTACCTTGTCATAAAGCTCCAGTAGATTTACGACACAGGATTTTCCTTCTCTGGTTGTCGTTTATAAGCTTGTTTCTTTCTAGGTGGTCCACCACCTAGAATCTTCTCCATGACTTTGTATACTCTACACATCACTGACACAGGTCAGTAGTTTAATTCCTCATGTCTGTCCCCTTTCTTAATAGTTTGGACTTCATTTGCCATCTTCAATTCCTCAGATAGTGGTAGTTACCCAGTTTCAATGGATGTGAAGATTTTTGCTAGTGGCACACAGTGTTTCTGCTCCCTCTCTAAGAACCTACAGAGAGATGTCCGATCCCACCACCTTTGGGGTAACAAGTTTACATAGCAGCTTCTTCTCCTATTCCTCGGTTGTGTGCATTTCATCCAGCACTTGTTGGTATATCCCTTGTTGGTGTACCTCCCTATTCTGCACTGTAAATACTGTAAATCTCATGTTGAACTCCTCACGTACTTCTTGGTCGTTTCTTGTCAACTCCTCACCTTCCTTCGTCAGCCTGATTACCTGGTCTTTGATTGTTGTTTTCCTTCTGATGTGGCTATACAACAGCTTCGGGTAAGACTTGACTTTCGATGCTGTTATTTTCGTATTGTTCTGAGCCTCCCTTCTTGTATGTGCATATTCGTTTCTGGCTCTTCGGCTAATTTCTTTATTTTCCTGGGCCCTTTGTCTCTCTGTACTTTTCCCATTCTCTAGTGCACCTGGTTTTTTCCTCCCTACACTTTCGGATGAACCAAGGACTCGTTCTGGTCTTCCCATCATTTCTGTTTTCCTTGGGAACCAATCTCTTCTCTACCTACTTCCAGTTTATTGCCACGTAGTCCATCATTTCTTTTACTGGTTTTCCTACCAATTCTCTTTCCCAGTGAACGCCTTGCAGGAAGTTCCTCATGCCTGTGTAGTCCCCCCATTTGAAGTTTGGCTTCTCCTGTCCTACGCCTGCTACACTCTCCACCTGTAGTTCAGATAAGTATTTAAAGCACAGAACCACATGAACATTAACTCCAAAGCGCCTTTCATACGTGATATCGTCGATGTCCTAACTACTCAAAGTGAATACAAGGTCCAGTCTTGCTGGATCATCGTCACCTCTCTCTCTCTGGTAGTGTCTGTAACATGTTGATGCATGAGGTTTTCCAGTACCACATCCATCATCTTGGCTCTCCATGTTTCGGGACCCCAAAGGGAGGAGAATGATTTTATTTTTTTAGCTTACACACATGTAAATATAAATAACTCATTTTACCTAATTCCTAGTATATCTCTTTTATAGTATAATAATACGATATTATCTCCATTATAGTATAAGGGTAAGATTAAAAAGACCCCAATGGAAATAAGTCACTTAGATTTTTTTGGGTTATCCTAAGTTCTCTACACATATGCTGCTGTTATAATCTATGTAACTATATTGGTGTATACCTTAATAAACTTACTATAAGAGAAAATTTTAGAAAAGACTTAATTTTAAATGAGTTCTTGCGAATGGACCAATTTTACCTATTCGGCACGACACACTTTCCATGGTCACAACAATGATTATTGTGTCCAAGGCAAGTTTGTGTGCAGGTCATCCCTCCGTAGAATACACTAAGTTATTCTTGCAACTTTTGTGTAAAATGCCATAGTGTCAATACTACGTAAATTTATGGCAATTAATAATCCACATGGATACAGTAATACCAATCCTAAACTAAGGGAGGGGGAGGGGTAACCTCGTATATTTACAGAAGAATGGCTGCCATCTACCTATGATGTACTGTGTCGCTGGAATAACCTCCAATGTCTCACTCCTCAAACTTCCTTCTTAACAATTATATATTTTTTTTTGTATTGTTTAGACCATGTTTTCTCCTCATCCATTATTCTTTTACATGATACGGTGTCTACGGTGATGTAGCAGATGCATGATACTTTTGTTACGTTACACCAAAGTTGCATGAAACTGCATTATTATTATTATTATTATTATTATCATGGGATAGCGCTAAACCCTTAGGATTATGCAGCGTACGTGGTGGAGGGGGGGGGAGGGGGGAAGGTATTCAGGCTCAACTCAGCGAACTGGAACACAGATCCAATTCCCTAGATCAAGAGCCCCTCACCAGCATCAAGGAACCTCCCTAGAGCGGTCATGAAACTGTAGTTACATGGTACTCCAGTTACATAATAATGTAGTTACGTGTTACTCCCGTTGTATTGTGGGCAGCCGGAATTGTAATTACAAGACACTGGAGTTGTATGATAATTTATACATATTTTACCCAGACTGAGGTATTACCCAGCGTGTCTGTGTTACCACGTGTGAAGTGTTGTTCTTAACAATACTGAAGGATATACTGAGAAAATGAAGAATCATGTGAAATCAAAGGTATCCTGATATCATTTAATAATATTATGACAATGTAATGTATGAAATAACAATTTGGAATATTTTATTGATAAAGCTTTATGAAGTATAATGTGATTTTTCCATGTCATTTACCCCCCCCCCCACACAGAAAAAAAATGAATCGGCAACAAAATTCGTCATTTCTAAGTATCTTTTTTTATAAGCTTCTTATAATTACATCTCATTATCAAAAATATTATATTTCTGCTGCGAAGTCATACACTAGAGATGATACTCCATCAAATGGGAAACAATGATAAATTTCCTCTAAAATCTCAGTTAGGTATAAACTGACGTTAAAATTGTTATATCTAACATCAATGAATACTGAACTGTGGTGGTGCATGAGACATACAAGTGGTGTATATAGCTGTTTACTGGTTTAATTTTACGTATGTGTTACAAGCAAAATAATACACGTTTTGAAGGATAACTGAGATAGGAATCTTACTTTGTATAATGACACCATCCCATCACTCACACACCATATGAAGGTGAAGTTTGGTGGTGCAACCTGTGGAAGACAGAAGAGATACCTTGAACATTGCTGCTACTAAATCAGTTAGAAAGGCAGTTAGTCATAACACACACACACACACACACACACACACACACACACACACACACACACACACACACCACACACACACACACACGCACACACACACACACACAACTGGTAAACATAAATAAACAAATAAGACCATTTCTAGCTTAAAGGGTAAAAATACACTTCCATTACTCTAGTAATGCTGTCTACATATGACCTTTGAGAAAACGCTAGAGAAGCTTAACCAATAGATACTAGAACAAAGGTTCTCAACATGGTGAAATTCCCCACCTGAGGTTATATTAGGGTGTTTCAGTGTAAACTGGGACCACTACTCAACAAAATGTGATGTCCTGCAGCTGTAGAACTGTAGTTTGTTTTTAATTTAATGTGTCATTCAGTAAAGTTTATTGAATTTCACAGATTAAATTAAAACGAAGATAAACGTTTCAATTTTTAGCCGATTTATTCTCGTTTTTATTCATGAATGTCAAAAAAAGAGGGTAAGATGATTCATATATTTAATGTGATTTGCAAAATGTTCATCCTCAACACAAGGACAAAAACTTCCTCGAATATCACTGCAATGTTCTCAAAAAGATAAATCCGGATTCAACAGAAGTATTCCATGAAATGAACCAAAAGATAACTGAAGCTTCTTACGTCGTAGCACTGGAGATAGCAAAGCAGAAAAAAAAATACAACTGGGGAAACTTTGATCAAACCTTGAGCTCTAAAAGTGGTGGAAATTGTGATTGGAAATGGACTGGAGAAAAAACTTGCAGCCGTTTCACTATGGAACAGAAAGATCAGCGACGGGGCCATTGGCATCAAGATCAAGTTTCACAGGAGATCAAGTGCAGCATTTGGCTTATTTTCAATTCAGCTTGATGAATCGACTGATGTGACTTCGTGTTCCCAGCTGCTAGAGTGTTTGCAAGATGTGTTCACTCGGGTTCATTTAAAGAAGAGTTTCTCCTTTGTTCTCCTTTTGAAACAAGTACCAAGACCTTGCATGTTTTGGAAAAGGTTTCATCTTTCTTTGAATCAGAAAATCTTTTGTGGGATAATGTCTGTGGTGTTGTACAGACGGAGCACCAGCAATGTTGGGGGCAATATCTGGATTTCCAGTTTGTCAGAAAAAGCGAACTCCGAAAGTGAAAGGCATTCACTGTAAGATCTATCGTCAGGCACTGACCTCAAAAACACTTCCATCTCCACAATTCAATTGTGAATTTTGTCTAATGAGAAGCTCACAACTTTTCAAGTGGTTAAGTACTGACATGGATGCTGGTCATCATTAGATTCTTTTACACACAGATGTTCTATGGCTTTCAAGTTGAAATGTAACTGAGCGAGTATTTGACGTTAGTGATGAGCTCAAATTATCTGGAGTTCAGGGAAAGATGGATTTTTTTTGCCTGGCTGGATGACGAGGAATGATTCATGCGCCATGCCTATTTGGTTGATATTTTTGAGTAGCTGAATAAACTGAATCTTCAGATGCACGGATGAAATACAAACATCGTAAACTTCATGAATTTCTTGAAAGCTTTCATGAGCAAGCTGGAAAACTGGAAGAGAAAGGTCAAGGTCAAAAATGCTGCAATGTTTGAGAACCTGTCATCAGTTCTTGCTGCTGATGGTGAAGACCAAGTGCTTCCAGATTATGCAGAAAATTAAATTTTGCAGCATTGTAGAGCACTGGAAAATGAATTCTGCCTCTGTTTCCCTGAACTCAGTGATGTGGAGTTGGATTTAGTGCGAAATCCATTTAAATTTTCATTTGAAAACGTTCCTGATGGTTGTCAAGATGAGTTTCTGAAGCTGAAGACTACTTCAGGAGCAGGACATATGATCGATGAGAAATCAGTCACAGCGACATATCTGAGTTAGGCTTTTCAACTCCCTTGCAAATTAAAAAGAAGCAGTCAAGTAGATTGGAGGCTGAAAATAACTAGTGGTGTACCTATTCAAGCACTTCTCCGTGAATCCAAGAACTGGCGAAGAAAAAACAATCTTCGTCAGAATACAAATGAATTACAATACCCTGGCATTCTTTTGATCTTTTGTTTGTTGAAGTGTTTCAGTAACTTTAGTCAGTTAAGTAATTAGTTATATTTATAAAAAAATATATTTGATCAAATTTTAAAATCCATCAACATTTTCTTTTGTTATTAAATTTGTAAAACTCCGCTAAAAAAAAAAAATCAAGTAAATGTATTCACCTTTCGAGTCAAGTTTGAGAAGGGGGGAATGACATCCTAATTTATGGTGAAGTGGATAAATGGGGCAAAAAAGGTGAGAACCACTGCAATAGAAAACAGAAAGATCAAATGTGACATGATTACGACGAGCGAAATATTTGAAGGAACTGACGAAGTACATTGGAACAGTCTGAGAGGAGAGTCTCAGTTACTCGAGAAAACTCTCACCGGGATATTAGGAAATATTTCTTTAGTCTTAGAATGGTTGGGAAGTAGAGCGATTTAGACAGCAAAGTAGAAGAGACAGAACCTAAACTCAGCTTTAGGAAAAGATATGATAGAGCTCACGCAGCCAGGAGAGATAGACCCAGTACCGGCCAGCAGAGAGACGAGGCCAGGAACGTAGACTTGACTCCTGCAACCACAATTAGGTGAGTACACACATACTCACACGCGGGAGTCACATAACAAAGTGCTCTTATGAATTTAGGCGTTTTGTGGACTACCCTTGTGTCAGGGTCAGTGAACAAGCACTGAAGTTATTTACAAGTTACTCTGTGTCAGATGAGGGTGGTGAGAGCCACAAATTACCAGGTAATCTTGAAGGTGATATTGGTGGCGTAAGACGTGTTGTCACACGTGTCCCCCCAAGAAAGATAATTAAAAGAAATCAGTGCGTGACCAGTGAAAGAAGCACAGTAAATAGGAACCTTATATATTTATTTATATATATATATATATATATATTTATATAATATAATATATATATATATATATATATATATATATATATATATATTATATATATATATAGTGCCGAATAGGCAAACTTGCGATCTTGGCTTAAATAGCAACGCTCATCTTGCCATATAGGACAAGTGAAAATTTGTGTATGCAATAATTTCGCCAATACTTCTGAACCTAACGAAAAAAATAAATTTTATTGTGTTTGTTTAATATTAAATTACTGTAAACGTATTAAATATATTTAGTTGGGTTAGGCTAAATAATTGCTCTTGCTATATAAGGTTAGGTAAGTTTTCTAAGATTCTTTTGTGTGCAAAATAAAATTTTTTACATTAACATTAATGAAAAAAACATATCTTAACGTATAGAGAAAATTTCCAGAAAGGACTTTAATTTTAATAAGTTCTGCTAATTGACATTTTACATATTCGGCACGAATATATATATATATAAATATATATTAATATATAAATATTATATTATATTATATGTCGTGCCGATAGGAAACCTTGCCATCTTGGCTTAATAGCACGTTCATCTTGCCATATAGGACAAATGAAAATTTGTGTATGCAATAATTTACCAAAAATCATTCTGAACCTAACGAAAAATATATATTTCAATGTGTTTGTTTAGTATTAAATTATTGTAAACAAATCTAATTATTATTATTATTATAATCAAGGGGGAAGCGCTAAACCCGGAGGATTATACAGCGCCTGGGGGGGGGATGTGGAAGGCATTCAGGCTTAATTCGGGGAACTGGAGCACAGATCCAATTCCCTAAATCAAGAGCCCCTCACCAACATCAAGGAACCTTCCTTGAGGGGTAAACAAATCTAAAATATATTTAGTTGGGTTAGGCTAAAATAAATTGTTCTTGTTATAATAAGGTTAGGTAAGTTTTCTAAGACTCTTTTGGTGCAAAATTAAAAATTTTTACATTAACATTAATGAAAAATATATATCTTTAAACGTATAAGAGAAAATTTTAGAAAGGACTTAATTTTAAATGAGTTCTTGCTAACTGACCAGTTTTACATATTCGGCACGACATATATATATATATATATATATATATATATATATATATATATATATATATATATATATATATATATATATATAATATATATATATATATATATATCAATAACAACACTGCACTAGCCATGCTGCTTTGGCCTGCTTCATGGTGGGCGAAAACGCATGACGCCGTAATCCACTTGACCATACGATTCTTAAGAGCAGCGCATCTAGCGGAACTGAATGTTGTACTCGCTACCCAAGGACATACGATGGTGTGGATGACTCTAGGCTAATTTCATTCTAGTCCCTGTTTGGTGTGCTAGTTCAACGAGCAGTATTTTATATTATTGTGACCACGAACGAGTGGTATTGAACTAGTGCACCAAACAAGGACTAGGATGAAATTAGCCTAATAAACAGGTGATATCATAATATGCAAAACAACCACTGTGAAAAAATATGCTCACGGATTAATTTCAGCGTCTTCCTGTTTGAATACCCGCCTCTGCAAGCAGTCTGTATAGCAATGATACCACGAAACTGAGCCATCGATCTTGCAAAGAACATGAGCCTAGCAAACTAGGCTTGTTTCATGTTGCGAGGACACTCGTGTCAGTGGTATGCTCAAAGATTAATTTCAGCCTCCTGCTTGACTATCCGCCTCCGCAAGCAGTCTATATAGCAATAAAACCACGAAACAAGTGGTTTTGAGTCATTTACCAAATTGTGGCAGGCCAGGGTTGCTTGTAGGATCGATGGCTCAGTTGGTTAGGTGACATGTACATTGTGTGGCCTCTTGAGGTGTTACAATGTGTCGTGGGGTCGAATCCTGGTTGATATTTACCACAGTTCGGTAAATGATTCAAAACCATTTGTTTCTTTGCTATATAGACTGCTTGTGGAGGCGGGTAATCAAACAGGAGGAGATTGAAATTAACCCTTGAAATTAACCATGTGTGTCCTTGTAACTTGAAACTAACCT